GATGAACTATTTACAAATAAAACTGTGTGCCAAAGACAATGTTTTGACAAACAAAAAGCTGCTGGTTGAAATAAGAAAAACAAAAAGCTGTTGGCTGATAAATAGCTGAGATGTTGTCTCTCCAAGCATCTGAATAGAAATGAATAAACCCTGCCTACTTCTCCCTTTTAATAGTGTCTGGTGAAAAATACCAATGAATTTCTTAATTTTCCAATTTTATTTTGTGCTCTTTTTAGGGTTAGGGTTAAAGGGAAAGGAAACTTAACTTCATATGGAAAGGAAACTTAACTTCAAAGGAAACTTAACTTCAAATTTAAACTTTTCTTAAAACAAAATGCTGATTGTTTTAATAAAAATTAAAATAAAATGTATTTCCAACTGTTTTTAAATGGTTTTAAATATTTTTAAATGTTTTTTAAGTTTTAATCTAGTTTTTAAATGTTTTTAGATTTTTTTGTTATTTTTTAAACTTTTTTTCTCTAAATAAACTATGTACAATCAAATATGTGTGCCCACGACAACGTTTCGACCCCTTGTGGGTCTTCTTCAGGTCTGGCACACCTCACTCAACAAAAAAACTCTCTCTTGAATGAAAAACAAAAGATGCTGGCTGGTAATTCTAAAGATGTTCTCTCTTCAAGCTTCTGAGTGGAAATGAAAGCCCTACCAACTTTTCTCCCTTTTTATACCCTCAGACAATAATTAGAGTGAATTTACTTATATTTAAGTTATTTTCTGCTCTATTTAGTTTTTGAAATGTTAACCCTTTCTGCACCGTTTGTGCTTTTAATCCATATTAATTATGTTTATTCACATATTTGTGCTTTAATAAACATATTAATAGGTATTTTTTAATCCCAAGATTAGGGTTACGGTCCTGCTTGACCTTTGACCTCTGTGGCCTGCTTGGCCGTTGGTCATTAAGTTGCCTCTAATGGTTAGGGTTAGGGTTAGGGGTTAGGGTTAGGGTTAAGGTTAGGAGGCTCCCACTTCTCCTATGTGTCCTGAAGAGCAAACATCTCACAGACATACTCAGACAAGTCCGGACATGTTTCTTTTTGTGCCCATAGCCTGAAGAAGACCCACAGCGGTCGAAACGTTGCAACTGGGCACTCTTTATCACACCTTTTCTTTATTTCTTCCTCCTCATAGGCATTTTATTTGGTTTTCTTTCTTTTATTTCATTTTGATTTCAGAAAACAACAAAAAAAGCATAAAAAAATTAAAGAACAATTCATTTTTTATATACAGTTTTTGTTTTAAATATTTTTTCATTTCATTAGATTAATAAATAGATAGATAAATACACAAATAAATAAATACATAGTTTAATAAATACAGTACATTAATAAATAGTAATAAATAATTAAAAAGATTAAAAACAATCATGAATTATGAGCAACAAGACTGGACTGAAGTGCGGTACGGGAAAAGGCGTGGTCGACGCCCGTACCGCACTAATAATCAGCAATACCAAACGGGGTCGTGGGGGACGGGGAACAGGGGGATGGACCGTGCACCTCCTGTCTCCTATCCTGGTTGAAGTCCGTAACCTTTATGAGACAGATATCATTGTGTGAGGACAGCAGGATGTTCTCTGGCTTCAGGTCTCGGTGGATTATTCCATTGGTGTGGAGGTACTGGACGGCTCTCAGCATCTGGTAAAAGTAAAGTTTGGCGATTGACTCCTTCAGCTGCCCCTGGGACTTCACTTTTTGGAAAAGTTCTCCTCCTTCCATGAGCTCCAAGACAATGTAGTAGCTGTCCTCTGTCTGATAGAAGTCTTCTGTCTTTGTGAGGCAAGGATGGTTCACTCGCTGCAGAATTTCAATCTCTGTCTCCGCATTTCGCGTTGCTGTCCCTTCAGACTGAAAATTCTTCTTGTTTATTATTTTCACTGCAAATTTTTTGCAGGTGGATCTCTCGAAGGCTAGTTTTACTTCACCACACACCCCTGTGCCAACCTGCCGAGTCAGTACGTATTTTCTTTGCAACTCCTGCGGGAGAGCTGACTGACTGTCAGACATCAGATCGATGAAGACAAAGACTTTGTTGCTTTGCTCAGACAGAGCGAGCACAGCGTTGTTGACGAGAGGGTTAGGTTTGGGAAAGAATCCCGTCTCCCCTAGAATGACCCTACTTGGGTCTGCGGGGAGCGGGGAATGCACGGGCCTTCGCCCACTGGACACGCTCCCCCGGTCCCCCAGGAAACACGACTTGTGCTTAATAAATGTTGTTGTTGACTTGGTTTTAATGTGTTGTGTTATTGTTTTTAAATATTTTCCAATTTTTTAGGATTTTTGTTTTTGTTTTTAAATATTTTCCATTTTTTTTAGGATTTTTTTGTTTTTATACACAACACACAAACAAACAAACAAACAAACAAACAATACATGATCACACATGAACTATGTACATACATTGTGCGCGTCGACGACGTTTCGACCCTACTTGGGTCTTCATCAGGTCATGCGCACAAAAAAAAAAAATGGCTGCTGGG